TGAGCTTGAGGAACTGCTGGGAAAGTGAAATGAAGAACTTTTTTTTTTGCAAATGGCGCTGCTTATGTTAGCTCTATGTTAATGGATATGTTAACGGTAGTGTTAATGCCAGTGAAATGCTGCTGTTACTAATAGTTCATACTCTCCTTTTCTGTACACACAATAAATTCTATTAAAATTCTTATTCATTATGAGATTTAAGTCAGTTTGTCAATTTAAGTAAAATTTCATGAAACATTATGGAATTCCACATACCTACTGGAATACAATAAGATATATTTTCGTATTGATGAGAATATCTTATGTCGAATTGCTTATTTTATTTTTATTGCCAATAATTTTATTATATTTATTTATTTTTTTTTTTTCAAACATGAATGATTTCGACTCACAGCTCTGCATTTTCCAACTTGGTACTACTACAGGGTATTTCAACGCTTTCATTTGACTTATCTTTATGAGCGTACGCCATAAGTGAACTCTAAACACTCAAAAATATCAAAAACTTTGTAAATTTCGCAAATCACCTGAAGACCATTAAAGATATATACTATATACCTGGTAGAGCTGGCCGTGTGTCCACTTCAGTGGTATTTTAGTATCCATAGAGCGGAATTACTTTAGCTGGATGCATGTGAAATTTAGTTATTGTTCTTTTCCATAGAAACTTGGAGCAGCTCGTCGAGCTGGTCGCTCAGCTGGACAGAGCGATATATCTACAAGATAAACGACTGCGTTGATGGTCAACGGGCGACGACGGTGTCACAGACGCTTTTTTTTAACCATTTGTTTGAAAAAAAAAAAAAAAAACAAAAAACAAAAAAAAACACCAACAACAGCGAGAAGCAGATGAAGTAGAAGACAAAAGAAGCACACGGGAGCGAGAGAGAGAGAGAGACGGAAGGAGAGAGAGATGGAGAGAGAGGCGAAGGAGCAGAGCTGGCGGATCCAGCGAAAAGACAAACGTTGCGGCGACAACGCAGCAAGTGACAAACGTTTAGATGGATGGATCGTTCTTCATTTGGGACCGAACCGACCCGACCGAACCGAACCGGACCGGACCGAGCCAGGGACAGAAGCAGAGGCAGCAGAGGTAGAGACAGCGGTAGGGGCAAAGCCAGGGGCTACGGTCCAGGGGCAGAGCAAGCAAATAAACCAACCGAAAAACGCGACGATTGCACATAAATTATATTCAAATTTCTTCAAGATCTAAGAGATATATAAATACGGTAAAAACATACACACACACACACACACTCACTCAGAGTCGAATTTATAGTACATGCTCGTTTCCACTTTTTACCATTTGCTGGTCTTTGTGTCCGTCTGTCGCGAGGTCTCACTGTCGCTCGCCTGTCGCCCTTTGTTTCAAATTTATGCAGATATGCCTACTCTTATCTGTGTGCGTATGTCTGTGTCTGTATGTGTGTGTGTGTGTGTGTGTGTGTGTGTGTGAAAATCCCGCGCTAAAACTTAACCAAATGCTGTTGTAAACTTCGCTCCCACCTGGCCACGATCCTTCACTGATCCACGCGACGCGACTAAATCGAAATCGAATAGAGAATCGTATATCAGCGGAGCATTAAGAGAATAGAGCGGAATGGATCCCCATGCAATATATGTATATATGTATGCATGTAGATTTATATGTATCTACATATAGGTCTCTAGGTCTCTGCATCGATTGTGCGGAGTGATTATGGTCAATGATATGCGAGCTCGATGGCAGCGCTTCCTGAATTCAACAAAACATTTACAAATTGACCCCAGATATGTTTCAAGTATTTTCATTGTTAATTTATTTATGAATAGTGGCTACGTCCGTTTGATTTCGATATATTTGATAGATTTCACAGCCCAAACTGTCCACAGATAAATATGAAACTGAGTGGGTCGTAAAATCACGATGACGATCATCGATGAGCAGTTGTAATCGTCGTAAAATAGTAACAAAATTATGATAATTTCGAAAGAGTTGTAAGTGACTGACTAAAGATATGCTATATATGTATGCAAGAGAGGAAGAGAAAAAGAGAGAGAGAGAGAGCGAGAAAATAGCTCAACTAGAACTAAAAAATTAGAAACATGCCCTAGGCATATTATAAATAATACAATAAATATAATTTATATAAAAAGAAGAGAGAAAGAGAGAGAGACAGATCGAAAGAAAAGGATAGAGCAACAAGAAGAAAGAGAGATATGGAGATTGAAAACCAAAGTGAGAGATAGAGAACGGGAGACTTAGGGAGAGAAAAAGAGAGAAAAGTGCAGAGACCCGGACAATACAGAAAATCAGAAACAGAAATAGCAAAAGAGAGAGAATATGAAATATGGGGAAGAGAAAAGAAAGCGAGAWAGATGAATAAACAGAGAGATAGAAGGGTGTTAAAGAGAGATTCAGATATAGAAGTGGAAAAGGTCTGAGACAAAGTGACGAATTAGGAGAGAGAAAAAAAAATTGAGATATGGAAAAAGAAATGAGGAAATAGAGATAAAAACGACAGCGAAAGAGTGAGAAAGTGAGAAAGAGGGATTGATAGAGAAATATGGGAGAGACTCAAGAGGACAATGATTGAACTATTCCTCAAATTATTTATTTAATAACTATTAACACTTTATATAAATTAGGGATAATTATATCTACATGCACTTATAGATATTATTGACCTCAGCCAGTGAAATGTCTCTCGAATACCTATGTAACATATGTCCCATAGAAACAATTTACCGTTCGAATCTTGAAGAAGTGTCAAGAGAGACAACTGCTTGCAGCTTGAATATTTTCGACAGGGTATTTAATGCGCGTCATTCCGTGAATATTTCTCTCTCTTAAATATTTGTATTTTTATTTCCGTTTGTTTTTAGTTTTAGTTTTTTTTTTTTTTAACCTCTTCTAATCAGAGTTTTATATTTTTGATCTTTGTGTTCGATGTTTTCTTGTTTTATGCGCTGTTTGTTGGCTGCTTATGTTGACATCCATTTGAATTAGTGCCAAATGCAAAAGATTTTCATCTAATTGAAAGCAACAACAAAACTAATGTTGACGAATGCTTTGATCTGAGCCAATAGCTCGACTGCTCCAACGATGACAATGCGGAACACTTGTCCACGCGAGTTCCCAATCAGAAGATATATCGAGCGGAGTTCTGAGCACATTGGCTATATATTAAGTATATGCAGGGTATATAACTAGAGTGATAGAGTGGGGGGAGGGGGACGAAGAGAGGCAGAGGGAGAGGGAGAGGAGGGAGAGAGAGTCAGAAGTCGCGCCTTTTGCTTTTGGCTGGAATAACGCTGTCAGAAATTGCCAACTGGCACATTAATCCCGGCGACATATTTATGAATGTATCCGCATATATATATATATGTGTGTATGTGTGGGAATGTATGTATCTGTGAAATGTAAAACTTTGTGGTGTTCGTGTATCCGTGAGATATAAAGATATCGACTGGACGAGGGTTGCTCGCGGCCCGTTGCTAAATGAGTGCACATTTCAGATAAATTATTGCAAACAATTCGTGTACGACGGCGTCTGGCACAAAATGTATTTAACAAATTAAATTTACACACACACACACACACACACACTCAAGCCAGAGAGCGAGCGAGCGCGAGAGAAAGAGAGAGGCAGAGACAGGCAGAGAGTGGGCGAGAGCGAGAGAGAGACAGAGAGAGGGAGAGACACTTCAAAGAGCGCGCCGCTGCATGACAGACGGACGCAGCGACAGGCCGACGGCATGTTGAGCGCTCGCTCGTGTGTATCGCCGCGCTCTGTGGGCGGAGCTTGCGCCAGCCAATGGCAGCGCCACGCGCAGAGCGAGAGCGAGAGAGATAAGCAGCGGGAGCGAGAGAGGGAGGTGTGGACGCTCTCAGATACTTTGGCATGGCTGCAGGCGCTTTGCCTTTGATTAGTCAGCGCTCGGTGCAGTTAGATGTGTGTAGGTATCTTGCAGATACAGATACACAGTTACAGATGCAGATGCAGACACAGATACAGATACATTGTTGTTGCTGTTCTTGCTGAATTGGCACGAGACCAGCGAGGCGACAATCACGCGGTCCATGTGTCACGTGACACGCTGACAGTTGCAGCTGCATCTATATCTGCATCTGTATCTGCATCTGTATCTGTATCTGTATCTATGGCTGCATATGTATCTGCGTTTGCAATTGCATTGGTATTCGTAGCTCTGGCCGCAGCCGCCTTTGTGGGTGTACTCATAGCCCATTCATGAGACACTCACACTCACACACACACACACAGAGTGCACTTTTATGTGTGCGTGTGTGTGCTTTATCTGGCAAAGCTGTAAATATTCGCGAGATTTACAACGCCAGCAACGACTCCGGACTCCGATTCGTACTCGGACTCGTACTCGGCCGCGTATCTTTTCGCCTGAATCGGCATCGAGTGTTTTGTTAGCTGGCATCGCAGCATCGCGTCGAGGCTGTCGAGGCTGTGGCAGAGGCATTCGACAGACGCACGACAACTCGGCTCGGCCATAACGCATCCGCATTAACGCAATCGCAACAGCTAATCCAGCCCGGCACGGCACACACACACACACACACACAGATATATAGAAGATACGCGACATTTAATATAAATACAAAAGCAAAGCCAAAGTCAAGAGTTCGCGCTGCGCTGCTACCCATTGTTGGCACTTCGCCTGTCAACGTAACTCACAATTGAATTGTTCCTTTGTCTACTCCTGCTCCAGCTCCAGCTCCAGCTCCAGCACCGCCTTTTCCTCTTTCTCCGCCGCCTCTACCCGCAGCCCGGCCAGCAGCCGCTTCCGATTTCGTTTGCAGCTCGCATAATTGGCATACGCTCGAGGTCAGCTCCAACTCCAACTCCAGCTCCGTCTCCAGCCGCAGCTCCAACGTCAACATCAACGTCAACGCCGCCGTTTGTTGTTAGCCGCCAGCCGCCAGCGCGGGCAGCCAACCTTCTGGGGACATCCTGTCCTTGGGCATCCGATTGGCCCATCTAACATAAATATCATTGTAGCTCGAGATGCTGGTGCCGCCGGATATGATGGCCGCCCAGACGCGCATGATTTACCAGCTGAATCGCTTCTGCGCCGAGCGCGTCCAAGCGCGCATCTTCAAGACGGCGACGGCCATTCGTGAGATCTGCAAGATTGTCCAGGACATACTCAAGGAGGTGGAGCTGCAGGAGCCCCGCTTCATATCCAGCCTGGTCGAGTGCAACGGCAGGTGAGTGGGTAAATCCAGTTTCTGACAGTAGAAAATCTCTACTCGGATTATCTAGACAAACGAAGAAACATTTTATTGATTTTTATGAAGCCTTTAAGATTGAGAAATAAATAAGTTCTTCCTAAAACTGATGTTATTCAGGGTATATATTGGAGTGATATAGTCTAAAGTATTTATAGAGAGAGTGGGAAACATGAGAGTAAGTGAAAACCGAATGAATAAAAGCTTTAGAACAATATTTCCGATTTATTCGTACATTCAGTCGAATTTAGAAATATACTTAACAGTCGTAGTATCAAGGATTCAGATAATACAGGTTATGCCTTAGCCCTAGAATTTTCTAGATGTTTTATCGATTTTTCCACCGATGACACGTTCTGTGGATCTGTCACGTCCTCAGAAAGGATTCAATGGTCAAGATAAAGATGAACTATTTGGCATATTTTACATTTCGACTTGTAACACTTTGAAACAGATATGAATGGACGATTTTATCTGACTAGCTATTATGCTCCTTTACTTCTACACTCAATGTAGATAATACAATAGTTCTAGAAAACATTTCTAAAATTTGATCAACTTTTGAACTTAATCTCAATCTAAAAATTTAGTCAGATGTTAGTTGAGATAAGATAGGACAATTAATATCTGATCAGATTTTGCGATATGATCTTATGTAGTATGTATGTATGCACAAATATATATATTTATATCCAGAAGTAGACGTCGATTCTGAAATATCAAAGATATACACGTAGAATAATAAATTATAATTATCAAATATTATAATTTATAGCTTTATAGCATATGTGTAGAGATATCATTAATCCTTCACACTTACTGCGGCGCTCGTCGGGTAGATGCAATCGATATTGAGCAGTAGGAGAAGCCGAGGAGCATGACTTGACAGCAATGACATCGCATGTTTCATGCCATTCAAGAACCGACTCAGTGTTGCCGTTGTTGTTGTTGTGCGATTATAGCAGGTGAGGCAGGAGAGCGCTGACAGGTATCAGGCGACCGAATTACGCAGCTCCAATTGGCAGCCATTGATTAGACGCAGCCGATACCGAAGCTGAGTCGAAAATTACAATACGTTTCTGTATTTACGTGTGTGTGTGTGTGTGTTGGTTCCATTGCAGATTCGAGGGCGTCGAGGTGATCTCACCGAATGAGTTCGAGATCGTGCTCTACCTCAACCAGATGGGCGTCTTCAACTTCGTGGACGACGGCACTCTGCCCGGCTGTGCGGTGCTGAAGCTGAGCGACGGGCGCAAACGCTCCATGTCGCTGTGGGTGGAGTTCATCACAGCGTCCGGCTATCTGTCGTCGCGGAAGATACGCGCACGCTTCCAGACGCTGGTGGCGCAGGCGTGCGATAAGAGCATCTACCGGGACATGGTCAAGATGATGGGCGATACGACAGAGGTGAAGCTGCGCATCCGGGAACGGTTCGTGGTGCAAATAACGCCGGCTTTCAAGTGCTCCGGCATCTGGCCGAGATCGGCGGCCCATTGGCCCATGCCGCACATACCCTGGCCGCATCCCAACATCGTGGCCGAAGTGAAGACGGAGGGGTTCGATCTGCTCTCCAAGGAGAGCATCGTCATGCAGAACAAGAACAACAACAATGCGGCTAGCATGGAGGGCGATGCCTGGGTGCTCAGCTTCTTCGAGGCCGAGAATCGCCTGCTGCAAGGTGAGTGAGCGGGGGCAGGGGGAGGGAGATGCGGGAGAAATTTAACAATCTATTGGCAACTGAGATGACGAAGATGATGATGATGATGATGATAATGATGTGAATCTTCAAAGGTGGCTGCCGTCGTCGCTGCTTGAGCATACTGAAGACGCTGCGAGACCGGCACTTGGAGCTACCCGGCAATCCGATCAGCGCATATCATCTGAAGAATCTGCTGCTCTACGAGTGCGAGAAGCATCCGCGTGACTTTGAGTGGGACGAGGGCTGCATTGCGGACCGTTTGAATGGGATCTTCCTGCAGCTAATCTCCTGCCTGCAGTACCGTCGCTGTCCGCACTACTTTCTGCCCAGCCTCGATATGTTCAAGGGCAAATCCCCCAGCGCTCTGGAGCAGGCCGCCAAGCAGGTCTGGCGTTTGACTCGTGAGATGCTCACCAATGCGAATGCCTTTGAGAAGTTGTAAGCGCAAAAGTAAGAGAGAGAGAGAGAGAGAGAGAGAGAGAGAGAACGTGTAATTTTGTGTATGTGTGTGATTGTAAATGTGTATGTGTGTGTATAATTCAAGGTGCTAAATTTTCATTGTCACAGCGCAGCGATTGCGCTGATCTGATAAGCGAAATGCCATCACTGGCAGCCATTTTGTGCCATGCGTGTGCCCCCTTGTGTGTGTATATGTGTGTGTGAAAATGTGCGCATAGCTGCAAAAACAACAACAATAGCAGGCGGCGAAACCCGAAGTGTTAATGCAAAGATGCGAGATAAGCCGCACATTGCCCACTCCTCAATCCAAATTCGCTGCCTCTGCCGCTGCCGCTGCTGCTGCTGCTGCTGCTGCCATTCCCATTGCATGCCTGACTGCGCTTAGCCGGCGAATATTGTTTTTAATAACTCGCCGCTGTTCGCATGCTTCGCCCAATGGCCAAACACAATGGCAGCAACAACAACTGCAGCGAAATAACAAAGCAAGGCAAAACGTAACACAAACAGTTACACCAACAACAACAACAGCAACAGCAGCAGCAGCAGCGGCAAGAGTGAAAAGGAGATACAACAACGAAACATAAAAAAAGAGCATTTGTCGGCTTCGCTTTGCAAGTGAGCTCAAGTGTGAGGCGAATCCGTTCTCATTATCGAAATTGAGTGCTCACTCTCTTAAGTACTCGAAATACCAATACATACAAAACAGCTGTATGCGAACAAAAAGCAGCAACAACAACTACGACAAACAAAACTTCAATTACACATATGTACATATACATATACAAAGTATAGCCATGTATTTACTCCGGATTTAGATGTCAAGATATTTGTTGGACTTAAAAAACAGACAAAAAGTTTTTGGACAATACAAATACTACTTAAATATATAGATATTTGTCTTCCTCTTTGAGTTATCCTACACATATACATATGTATGTAGAAACTGTAAGTGAACATTTTATCAAATTATATTAAATTCTTTTTTTTTAATATGAATATGTATATTATATAAACTTAATTATTATACTTAGATTGCTTAAGAAACAGTTGAATGAAATAAATTTTAAAATAGCCCAAGGCAAATTTTATAAACAATTTTTATCTAAAAATTTCACATATGCGTACATACTATATGGAAATATGTTTGTATGTGTGCGTAAATGTATGTAAATAAAGCAAATACTATTTGCTTAGTCGCATGCGTGTACGGCGCACTAATACTATTAAAGCTACCGTCAAGGCGAATTGGTTATACTGAGCATAGTTGAAAATGCAGTTCGCCGCAGAGCACAAGACGGTGACACACTAATACAGAGACAATTACAGCTTTTTAAGCTCAAGTTGAGAACAAGTAAATACCATGAGAAAGCTGCGTCACAAAACTTTAAGCTGCATTTACATCCTTCAGGACTGTGAGAGAGAGAGAGAAAGAGGGAGAGAGACTGGAAGTGAGGGAAAGACAGAAGAGAGCTCATTAAAAGTTGGTAGCTGTTTGCCATGCTGACTGTGAGTTAGTGTTATGAGTATTGCTCGATCGCCAAAAAGAAAAACAAAAACAAAAGCAACAACAGCAACAATTTATTTGTTGCTCTTAGTGCAGGACAGCTGCAGCGACAACTGAGCATCAATTTTATTACCCTTATTTATGGTTATGTTATTCCTGGGGCCTCCAATGAGCGCTGTCCTTCTTCTGCCTGCACCTCCACCACCTCCTGCTCCTGCTTCGTCTTCAACCTCTGCATACAGACAAAAACTTTTCAGCGAATGTAATCGATATTTTTTTTTTGTATTTTTGCTTTGGCTGACAAAAGATGTTCCGCTGCGAGAAATCCATTTACGTATAAGTATATACAGATATATGCGTATATATGTATGTCTGTCTTACCCAAGTGCGTAGTTTAATCAAAGGTAGAAGGGGGCTGGGGCGGCTGAGGTTGGTTGGCTGGGGTTGCTGCAGAGGTAGCATAATGCGATAGCTAAAATAACAAATTATGCTGAAGCACGCAGGATCATATTACAAACATATTGTATAGCTAACCAGCCAAGCCATTATGACAGAGAGACAAAGAGCGAGGGCGTGTGGGAGTGAGGGAGTGAGGCGTGTAGGGGTGGACGCCCCTGTGCTTAAGCGGGGCGTGGCAGCAGTTACTGTTGGCAATGGGAAAAATAGCATCAGGTGATTTGCGGTCGAGAGCGTCACGACGGCTGCGCACTTGAGGAGCTGAGGGGCAGTGGGGGTGGCCTGCAGGGGGAGGCTGGGCTGGGGGTGCCACGTGTCCGAAAGCCGCATGGACCATGTGAACGGCCGCAGGCTGCAGATAAGGCACGTTTATGAACTAGAGAGTAGAAATTAGAAAAATGTTAGCGCAGCCTTTTCCGGTAGGCGATGGGCGGGGGTAGAGCGCTGCCAGCGCTGGAAGGGATCGGGGTAGAGCGCCCGAGGAGAGCTAGCTCTACGCTTTAGTCTCCAGCTTTTTGTGTGTTTTGACAAATTGTACATGAAATGCAATTAAGAGCTGGGCCCAACAACAAAGGCAGAAAAACAAAGCGCACCGAAATCCTTTTCGCTTTCCTTGACGGGCTTTTTGTGTTTGTTTTATGTCCTTCGCGCAATCCTTTTCTCTGCGACCTGTCACAACTTTGCGTAAAGCCAAATCGACCCAAAACACTGAAATGTCGCCCTTTGATTTGTTTGCCTTTCATTATGCTCGGCTCTCTGTGACATTTATGTAATCGCTGCCTTCGGCCCTCGACTCTCGGCTCTCGGTCCTCGGTCCTCCACCCCCCAACCACCAACCTCCAACCAACCTCCGCCCGTGGGCGTGTCGCGCGTTGACAGGCGACTTGGTATAATGCCCGCATTGTCAAGGGAGCTCCTTTTGTTTTAATTGTTTACTAATGATATTTAAATTAGTGCTCTATATGACCGCAAGCGGTTTCTTTGTATTACTCATTTCAACTCCTTTTGCTCCTTGTTTCGTTCTCTGCCTTACATTTTGTCATCTCATTTGTTTGGCAGCGCGCTCTCTGGCTCTGACACGCCCCTCGCTACGCAAACGGCTTTGTTCCCTGCAGACGTTAGCCTGAAGTTAAGAGCGAATGTTAAGTTAACGGCAACCTGAGAAAAGTTTCCTTAAGACTTAAGCACTCCAGTTACTCCAGTTGCGTAGACCTTATATAGTATTTATTCAGTTTTACAGCTCTAGCTGAAAGCTGTTTCTAATTTACTATCCCATCCACGATTTCCTACTATCTTTCCCACTCKGCGACTCTGCGGGTCAATCAATCAAGATTGACTGCGTGCAATGCATGGACTATCGCATACAGAGAGCACTCTGATTGAAGACACGCTGTTGCTGGAGAGTCGTGGAATTCTCTCTGCCTCTGCCACTGCCTCTGCCTCAGCCTCAGCCCCATTGTGTAGGGGCAGGAACTGGGATAATTATGTCGTCATTATCAAAAACACGTGGTGCAATTTAACAACATGCCACAAGGAGTACGCCGGAGCCACACGCCACAAATTATGAATATCAAAATGTGCCCAAGATAAACGACACAGGAAAAAGGCAAAAGTTTTCAATAGCGAGTGTGACACAGAGAGGGAGAGAGAGAGAGAGAGAGAGACAAGGGTAGAGAGAGGTGAGGGGGGGTGAGAAGCGCACTGAGAGTGGAGATTGGAAAATTAGTTTTCCACGCATCGTCAGCAAACACAATGGAGCATAGAGGCTGGGGGCTGGGGGCTGGGGCTGGGGCTGGGGGCTGACGAAGGTGGTTGGGGGCAGCTGTGGCACCTACACACGATAATTTATAGCAGATTGTCGCCTGCACGCTACGAGAGCGAGCGCGCAGCAGAGGAAGAGGGAAAGAGAGAGAGAGGTAGAGGAGGCGAGGGAGTGGGCTGTACCGCTTCAATAGATGAGGCGTATTTTTGGATGGGCATTTGCATTCAATTACGGCAGCTGCAAGCCGGACAGATTTATTTTTATGCACGCGCCATAAACGAAGCCCCAAAATGCGCCACAGCTGGTCGAGGTAACGGGAGTGGGGGTGGGCAAGGGGTAGCGCTAGGGATAGGATTGAGGATGGGGCTGAGGCTGGGGCTGGGGCTGGGATCTGGGATCTGGGATCTGGCGTTGGCTGCGCTCAATCATAATTATGTGATTTGTTTGCGACGTGCAGGCGAAAGAGTTGGGCGGGGGCCGTTAAGTAAAGTGGGGGCGGGCAGCGACTAATTAAAAGCGAGAGCCCAATGCCGGTGGGCGGGGGTAGGTGTCTGGGTCTGGAGTCTGTGTGGTTGTGTGGCATGTTGACGTATTGTCGCTTGTGTCGGCGTTGTGGAAGTTATGACATTTTGATTTGAGTTGCATTTGATGTCGCTCAGCCGGCGCTTGGCAGCTGATTTATGCAGCAGGGGGTGGACGAAAGAGTGAGAGAGAGAGAGAGATAGCTAACGAAGCGGTGAGCAACTAATTAAGATAGAGGCGAAGCTGAGGTCGCAGCACAGCTGCAAACAATTTACGGACGAGCAGCCAAAGGATTGAGAAGCACAGAGAGAGGCAAAGAAAGAGAGTGATACAGAGAGGGGGATGGTAAGCGGGGGACAACAAGTGACATATATATTTTTTGTTTGATTCCAAATCGATTAACATTATTAATGAATATGCGTGCGTATTAGAGAAAACCACAAAAAAAAAGCAGGAGAAAAAAAAACCAAAACATGCGACATACCTGAAAAGGAGAGAGAGAAAAAAGGTTTCCCAACGAAAAAAAAAAAATAATATGTTGAAACAGTTGTGAAATTCCGAGAAATGCCCAAAGCAGAAGAGGCAGAAGAAGAAGAAGCAGCAGCAAGAAAGATTGTCAACATGATCATCAGCGACGGCATGGTATGGAGGGCGTGGCAGGCAAAGGGCGGCGGCCAGGGCTGAATGCAGCAAGCAGAGCCAAAGAGCCGGCGGAGCCGAAGCAGAACTTTGGAGCAACCTGTGGAATGTCCCAAACAACGGCAAAGGTAGGCCAGAAGAGGCGAGCAGTAGGGGAGGGGCGGAGAGAGGCACAGTCAAGGCGAACGAGTCAAATCAAAATGCAGATAGTATCAATTATATGTAAAGAGATACAGATACAAACACACACGCACACACACACACATGAGATAGATGCTGATGACAAGATAAGCATTTAAATTATTAACAACAACAACAACTAAAGGATATATGTATATGTGTGTATATATGTGTGTGCGTGCGTGTAATTCATTAGAAACCAACAGCTGATTCGCTTTATAAAAGAAGTTTGCTTCCCAAGGAATGTGAGATAAACTAACTTTTTTTTAGGGAATGATCTAACGGCAAAGAAGCTCAACTCGAGCTGGAATTGATGAGTGGTATATACATATTTATAATTGCCTTGATTTACATAGAATTTCAGTATTTTTCATATGACGCTACGAAAGCAGACTGAAAGAGAGAAAGAGAGAGAGACATATAGAGCGGTTCTAGATGACGAACTTAAGGAAGCTGCATAGGATCTGGATAGGAAGAGGGGAGCTGAGCCCACAAATTGCTTATGTAGCTGATTGACCGATTGATTGACTGATAACTAAAGACAGACTGACTGAATGACTGACTAAAGCCAAACTGATTGATTGTCTATTCACCAACTCTCAAGAGCTCACCAACGAAGGACATTCAATCAGAAAATGTCTGATGAAATGATTGATTAACTAAATGAATGACTGATTGATCCACTGTGTGATTATTGTCTAGGATATATGCAACAGCTTACATTTAAAGAATCTTAGATCTGAATATACAACTATAGATAAGAGCTCCTGCCACCTCAGGAAAAATAGTCAAGTATTCTTTTCATCTCTTTTTTTATTTCAAATAAATTTCTTAACATAAATACGCTAATTAAGTATATTTAAAAAAAAATGAAAAAAAAAAAAGTTAGATAAGCATAAATAACAATTAGACATGCATATGTATGTACAACTATACATATATATTATATATT